GCGAGGATAACCAGTGGGGACTTCTGAAAACGGGTGATCACGTTTTTTTAATTAAACCGAAAGTCAGACGCCCCCGTGGAGAGGAATCGCCCCGGACAATCGGGACCGCCGGTTTAATCACGACGTAATAATGACGGCAGATAAATTAAACTGGACCGTAATGCTGTCCGTTCGAACGGCCGGCCCCTCGAAGAAAGATCGCGTGCTGGAAACAAAAGACCGACAAAACGATTCGGTAAACTTCGGGGACACGGATACTCTCCGGTCGTCGAGATTAAGCCCAGACTATGGAAGAAATCCCTTCTGTGATTTTATTGCTTCGAGAATCTTGCGGAATTTTCTCGAAACCGATCTGCGGATGAAACATCATTTATTTCTTATTTAGGTGTACAATCATTCGTCAAGGTGACGGAAATTCTTAAAAGAAATAACGTTGTCATGTGTCTTAGTTGAATACAGCCCCTAGAGTTAGGGATGAAAGTAATTTATACATATTCCGGAAACTATGAAAATCAGGAGGTAAAGAAATCATATATTTTACAAAGAATCCAAGCTTTCCGAAAATTCCAGAACATTTACAAGTAAATATTGTTCACTGCGCGATATCGCATTATTGAAATGACTAAGTACAAATATAGAAGTCGTACACTTTCATAATTAATCACGTTGGACGTAACGTATCGCTGCAATCAACGTATGAAACGTATTTCACGTCGATAGCATCGAACGCGGATGGAAAAAGGCGCGTTCCGCGAGTAACAGCGAATGCAGTCGAAACTATCAGCGTAAATATCGACGAGCGGGAGGCTATTATTTTTCGCTGAGTTCCACGCGATAGTTTCGCGATGGAGTCCCGACTGTCAGGCTAGATAAACACTTAACGGGCCTGAATTGACGATGAATCGACGGCGCAGAGGGTGCGTCTCGTAAATTCGCATTATCGGGCCCGCGGCTCGATGCAGCTGCCGTCAGAATTCTCACCCTGGGTGTAAACAGTTATCCGAGCGAAGGGAAACGCGGTTTATGCAGTCCTTGGCAAACAACGGGGAGCCGTGGAGCAATGAGGATCTTGCGAAATCATTTTACCCGTACAGGTCAAGGGATTATGTAATAACCTCTCAACGAGGTTAATTCGGAGAAGATCGTTCGCTAGGTAGAACAGTCAACCCCTCGCTCTATGATTCCTTTCTGAACTGTCAACGATCTTGTTCTTAATCATTTATTAGAAATAAGAGAAAATTCTAGTGTGCTTTACAATATAATCATTGACAGAGGAGAAGAATGAAATTTGCATTCGAACAAATTGAATAATATTTATGTTTGTTAAATTCTATTTGAAATCTTCATCACGAGTCTGACGAGATATCGTAAGGCAAGGGGTTAACCCCTCGCCCTATGATTTCGTTCCCAATTGCGCTCAAGAAATATTATATTGTTCATAATTCATTAGGAAAAGAGAACTCTACGCTTATTCTATATTTATATTTAATCGGAAGCATGACAGTTAATAATAGAAAAATAAAATTCAACAGGGACTTGGAAGAATTGAGTGATATTTGTTGAATTCTATTTGAAATCTTCGTCTCGAGTCTGATACGATATTGTAGAGCAAGTGATGCACTTGTAGTGAGATTCGATGGTTTCGATGGAATTTTTGTCCGTGTTGGTTAGAGAGATTGAAGTCGAAAAATATTAGAATTGGAAAACACTTTTCATTAGTGCATGTCGCAAGTGAGAGATGAAAATGATATTAAATTAAGATAAATTCAATTAATTGATTATACTTGATCTTGTATTAACTTAAGAAGCAGAATTTTCTATTTCCAAAGTTTCATACGGGACCTAATAGAAACTTCATAACAGATTTGAATGGTTTAATATAAGTAGCAGAATACGAATGTAATCTGATTAGTTCAATTGCGGTGATAATAGTGGCCGATTCGATCGTATAAAGAGAAATGCAAGAAATCCAATCAGAGTGTTAATGAAAAGAGCAATAATTGATGAAATACAGGCTACATAGCGAGAAAGAACGAGCAGAGCGAGCCAATTAAATCATTAGAACGTTATTGGGAATTATTCGATCAATTCGGAATTCCTGTAGGACTCTCTGTATCGAGCACTGAATTACAGTCAATCGATGCGTACTCTCTCCGATACCTCGTTCCATCGGGGATATCATTCAATACACCCTCGCTCGCGATTTCCAGCGTAAATTACGTCAATAACAAACGCTCGATTTCGCATCGTAATTCTCAAGAACCCGGGAACGCGTGGGGACAAATGTGGCTCATAGACCGATCCTCATATACAAAGAGACACGTTGGTAGACGTAAATAGGTGGGGGGGTCAAACACGGGTAACACGGACATTTAAGCACGGCTATGGCGTTTACCGAGTGCCGATATATACAGCACTCCGGTCATAATTATTGAACGATCAGGATTTACGCGGATCATAACAATTCAACTTGCTTCCTATATGTTTATGGCGCATATTGGAAGCTTTGAAAACATATGCAGCAGCTTCTTTATTAGACTACGAATTTCGACCATTTTATTAACACGTTCAGTGCCACGTGTACCACATGTGGTACACGTTAATTTTTGTAATAATATATTTTTGAGGGACACACGGTCAAGAATAGCTGTATACGTTACAAAGCATCGAAAACATCAAGAAACGATATGAAAATATATAAAATTTTAAAAAAACTTGAGTATAACTTAATATTTTATTTAAAAAATCAATACAGTTCATAAGCAAAATATGACCGAAATTTCCGTGGCACGGAACGTGTTAAACTTGTACAAGATGGGATTCAAAATGAAAAGTCTATTTTCTATAAAGAAGAAGATTACATAAAAGAATTTACAAAAATATCGTCTGACAATGAAATGGTCAGATCTGTTGAGAGAAATAACTTTACTAATATCACGAAGTTTATAAAGTAATAATTAGTAGCAAAGATAAGATAAATAGTACGTTGATAAGCTGTGTTTAATAGAAAATTAGTAAATAGTCTTTTAAGTATTATTATATTACAATGCAGTTCGTAAGCTTCTTATATAAATCGGTTTCAATTGAAATATTCCAGCTGTTGAACTTCAATCGCGGTTTAAATAAATATGATCCACGGTAAATATCAGTCCGGCCTGGTGATCGTCGGGAGAACGACGGGGTCTAAACCAGACAGAAAATGTTGCATTCCTGCGTGATACTTCCGGCGCTAATTTGCACAGTCCGTTTGATATTCAACTGCGCCACGTGTGCGCCGGATATTGGCCAGCCGTCGGACTTGAATCGGGTAATTCGTTATTGTTAATGCGAGATTAATTTCGGAGTAAAATACGAGGAGCAAACGTATTCGAGAGTTCCGACTTCCCCGTGTATCACATAAAGGGTGGTTAAATTTCATTCGGCAAATATTCTGATGTTGACTGACGGATGATTCTCCAATAAAATAAGATAAAAATTTAAATCGAGGATGGCGAGCAACAATATTTTTAATGTGAAGGATACAAATACATATGATTTAAAAAATTTAGAAGTTTATTAATGTTATCTGTATGATTTCAAAAGAAATATTTATTTATTCAAGAGACAATGAAATTTTCGTATAATGGAAGAATCACTTTTGAGATATTAAATACGATTCGCGTGGTAATCGTGGATGTTGACAGTTTGTTTAAATATTTGTACACGAAAAGGTGGCACTGACAAACAGCTGTGGAACATCATTAGCATATAGAAAATTCGTTTATTCCAATCACGATGGACGAAATGTATAATGCTGTTGGTCATGAGATATCAATGAGCCTGACGCAGCTATACAGACACACGTAAATTCGTTGAAGCGTCAGTTGAACGGATCGTGGACTCGCATGCTAGCGCCGAAACTTGTCAATATTGGACTGCTGTAATCGTACACATTAATTTTCAAAGTTGCGTGCATACGCATGATCCTAATTTGAATTTATGTGTGCCAATAAATGGAGAGACGACTAGCCTAAACATTGAGAGGTGATGCATTTATGAACTTCTATGATGCTTCGATGCGCAGTTTCGTTGAAATCATAAATTACACGAATGAAAATGGTACAATGAAAAATAATGCAGATAATGAAAGGTAATATGATAAATAGAATAATAAACTGAAGAAGCGGCAATACTCGATTTTGGTTACAGAGACAAGTGTGAAATAATATTACTATGAACCATGTTCGTGACCAATTACATCAGTAAACTATAATCAATATTATATTCACGATTATGTTTTCTACGAACTGCCAACTTAATTCATTCTTCACTTAACAGAACTCTTTGAAATAAAATACTTTGAACATTTTCATTGAAAACAACCTGTAATGTTTTTATAGAAATACTGACCTAACTTTTCATTCATTCACACTTGTACACTTGCTCGTTACCAACGAGCATTAATCCTTTGCGTTCCTATGTCCAGCGTAATTCGACATCAGTTTTATTCACAGATGTGCTTCTTTGACTAGATATTTTTAAACTAGATTATATTATTATGTTATTTTCAATATTATTAGTAAGAATAATCGTTTACACTGCTCTCTACAAACTATTTTCTTAAATGCATTGCGAATTAAATATCTTAATAAAACAGAGTTATCGAGGGAAAAATGCAAAAGAAATTCGCAGTGCAAAGGGTTAACGATCACGTGACATTACCATAATTCAGTTGAGTTTGACCTTTTATTAACTCTATCGTGACCGAAGTGCTTTGCACTCGGGGAAACGAGTTTCTAAATAAAGCGCGTTACATAAAGCTAGACCTTCGAGAACCTTGTGGGGAAATCAATAAAACTAATATTTTCACTGTCACGTTATCGTAGCAGGTGAAAAGTGTCCGCGTTCGTCAACATTCGCCGCAATGATTACTGCTCCCTTCCCGGGAAAGAGACAGTTTCGACCCTATCCTCGATCAACAGTCATCGGTTACAGTTAGCCACTCACTGACAACCCCTTTAATCGCGCGGACTGTCATTTTCTCACATATCATCGAAATTCATTAATTCTCTTATCACAAATTTGTTATATTCACTTTACCCTTGCACTCGAGTTAGAATAAACTAGATCTTTCTTATTATTATTGAATAAATATGTATATAGATCGTAATATAGTCATGATAATATAGTACATAATAATAATAATGGATTCTAAATAAAATAGGATATGCTCCTGACGGAGGAGAAGGAATACTGTTAATAATAAGAATAGATGAGATAAGACATAATAAGAATGATATTAAATAAAATAAAAAAATCATTATCATAAGTAAAATAAATAATAATAATAACAAAAGAAATTACAAAATTATTATTATAAATAAAATAAATAATAATTATTCATTGGGAACCTAGTCTAAGAAGGTATACACGCAAATGATGCAAATGAGTTAGATTAATATCGATATTCAGTGCGAAAAGAATACGGTAAACGCGACCTCGGTCGCTGAGGGGTTAACTTTCAAATTTTGTTATACTCCGCGGGACGTTCCAGTCGCGTCACAGTGTTCGCGAGCCACAATACGATGGTTGCCACGGTTGTTTGCGCAGAGAGTACCGCGCCTCGCCACCGGGGATACAAGTTCTCCATGATTTGGTCTCGGGAGAGGAGGTCGCCCCCGCAGATCTTGAAGGAGCTTAAGTCCAAACTGCGAGCGTACATTAATCAAGGGGAGATTCAGATGGTGGATCACGGTAACTGTTAAACAAACCATAAACTTCCATGCTAGGCCGAGTCCTGTGAAGGCCTATCTGTTACTTGCATCGAGTTGGTGCGTTCAAACTGAATTATACACGGCATTATGATCTCGATAATGGTGTTTTACAGAAGAACCTCGATTATTCGATATAATTTGGTGACTAACAGTCTAGATATATAGAAACTTGTGAGATTCTTTAAAACATGTATGTAAAATTCGAACATATATATTTTAAATATAATTTAAAAGTCAGAATTATTGAGTTCCAATTTGAAAGGAGTATGAATAGTCGAGATCGCGGAAAATAGCGTTGTATTATGGAAGTCTACGCAAGTGATTAATTTACGTTAATATGAGTTATAGAGTACATTGTTTTTTTTATGAAGAGTTTTATTACGTTATACGTTGAATAAATATTTGGTAAGGTTTGCTAACAAATTGGACTGCAGTGAATTTTGCGTATTAATGTTGGATATGAATGCAGAAAATCGATGAGGACATTTCCATGGAGGAATTTTCTCTCACTGGTACCGTCGACGAATAAAAGGATTATGACCGGAAAGCAGCTTGTTACAAATTTTTTATCGGCTTAGAATCGTTAGTTTCTAACGAGAAGATATCGTGATACGTTTTATAACAATTTTCCTTTATCGATCTTGCAAGTATATTTTCCTGTTTTCAATGTACTGGCGGAATGAAATCATAAGAACAGGATGATTAATGTTTATAAGAAATGTACTTTATTTGTACACGTTTTTAAAGATTGTAAGCTTTGGAATACAATAGAGACTACGATTAAGAATGTCAAATATCCTTTTCGTGACTTCTGCAAGGGTAACTAAAAATTTCAGATTTTAAATTATATTCAAAAGTTTTTCGTATAAAACAGTTTTCGTGTAAAACGTCCATTCACTCGACGTGTCGAAGCTCTGTTTCGGTGTTGCATAATGAAAACAGTGAATACAGGTTTCATAAAAATGCGAAAGAAGGACCGGTACCCTTGCAATTATTTAAAAAACTGTAATTGTGTGGAGTATCTATGAAAACCACCCTCGCGAAATGAATCATTCAAGGAGGGTGACGCAGAACTTACTCGTTGAGCTCATGAAATATTCGAGGAACAACCAACTGAGCCAAAAGCATCAACACCTGCGGTCGGAACGGAATCTTGAGGCACTCCACTGTATTGTCGAGCACGGAATTTCTTACGCAGCAACGGATCGTAGGCGAAACGGACTGTCGTAAACGATACATCGGTGTAACCACGTTTACATGAAAAAAAATTTAACGATATTAATCTGCAAATACCTTATAGACATTATTTACAAAATATGAAACCCTACTGTTTAAATAGTAACCCTTATTATTAGTAAAACAAAACTATATAGTAATCTCCTTGAAACACTAAAAAGTTTTAATATTTCAATATTTACAAATCAATTTTCTCGATAATACATTGAACAAACCGAATTTTCTTAGCTCCGCGAGACGCGAGAAAGCCAAAAGCTCGATAACACTGAAAAATCTGACACATTCAGTTCTATTTCATCAGAAAAATTGCTTTGACTACAAAAACAACTTAATAACCATCGACTTAGCGATCAACTCCGAAAAACAACGTCCTCCAGTTCTAATATTGTCCATGATTAAGCCATTACTTCATCGCACGAGCGCAAGGAGGATTATAAATCCGCGGCATGCTGGAAAAAGCGACGTAACACCGTGTAAACCGAGTAAACGACGTGCACGCGTGCCCCCGCAACAACTTTGAAATATACCCGGCTATTACGCGCACTCCGCGCGGCCTGTTAATTGAAGGTGATTACAACTATCGCTGCAACGACGAGTATCGGCGCGGTAGCTCGACGTGAAATATCGAACGAACGCGCGATCGAGTACCGGAGAGATCGTCCGACGACGTTAAAAGCGGGAAGGTAACGGCTCGTTGCCGTTATTCAACTATTTTCCAACTTTCATCCCCCGCAGCCTCCATTCACTCGGTCTTCTTTCTCCTTTTCGGGGTTGGAGTGGGAGAGGGTTGCAGATTTTCAACAGAAAACCTCCATAAATCCCGCGTATCACAATGACCGTGCCCGTAATAAATATCGCACACAAACATCTAATGGGGGACGCCATTTCGCCGCGGAGTTCGATGATATTGTTTATGGAGACTACGTACGGGAACGCGATATAATGGAAATTCCGGCGTCCGGCCAACTATTTATGGGACACCGTCATGTGGCGCCCATTGCCGGTGCGTTTGGTCCCCCACAGTTCCTCGTGGTATATAGGCCACGTGACCGTCCCGTGGGGACTACTGCCACCCCCTATCGCACCGACATTTCTTTTTCTGATGTTTTCTGACGTTCTCCATCCCACTCGTGGAACTCTTATTGACTTTATACGGGGTGATCTTTAAATCGTAACGCGACTGAACAGGAAGTGGATCTGCGTGAAAAGATAAGTAAAAAATGGAGAATAAAGCGTTCATAGGAATATTGAATCGAGAGATGATGGACTTTGTGAGTTCGTTTGATACTCAGGAACTGGTGTTTGCAAATGAAATTGTTTTAGCTTTGAATTTCGATTGTACGGGATAATTTTCCTATGTAATTTTATCTGTTACTCGCATGATAGTGGACTTTATTATTCATAAATTAACTGAAGAAACCGAAGGTTTTAACTTGTTTACAATTTCGACTACTTTTTCAGTTTGAATATTCCAGTGTTTCATCGATCTTTATCTACATGATTGTAACACACGTTTGCTTATTCATGTAATTCTCGATTATCACGTCAACCATTTAACCATTAGCACTCCAGCTTATTTTGTAACCTTCCAGCAACTCCAAATCACTTCCATAGTAACCTAGTGAAAATCAAGAAGTGTTATATTCTAACATTTCTTAGATTTCTTAGCATCTTTCTTAGGAAAAAATTTACATGTGCAGCGAATGCAATAACCTTGAAATAGTTTCTCCAGCTTTGTAAAATATCTGATACTGTAAATTGTGCTGTACTGGAACCAACAGAGCGCAAAGGGTTAATAAAAAGAAGAATCGATACACAGGTCTAACGTAAAATCTGTAATATAGTAATCGCTATCGATCTACATAGACAATTCATCCCATCATTGATGATTGTTTCATCCCGTCGTACAAACAATGCCCTTTCAAGGTAAAAAGGGTGCAACTTACCACGTTGTTTGAAGAATATTTTTTACCCCGCCAAGACACCGGTTTATAATTAAGCTGAGTCTGCGGCTTTCCCATAGAGGATTCAATGTGACGTCATTCGACCATTCACTATGCTATTAATGGCGTGTCAACCCATACGGTGTAGGTAACCGCGCACTTATATGCGTTCAGGAGATATATGTATGTACAAGTCCACGTGACCGCTCCACGGGGACGCCCATTAAACCGACCCCACGGATCATGATGTCCCATGAACATCACTTGAGGGGCCCAGGATTGTCACGTTCACAAAAGGAGACACAGGTGCCGGGCATCGGTGATTTTAAGGGACGTTCAGCCCGCTTAACTTCCCGCGAACGCCACTGAATTATCAATCAATGTAATTAACCCTGCCGCGCTCATCAATTTATCTATACGTCTGAAATATTATTTACAGAATAGAACCGTATGGATTAATAATAAATTTTGTATAATATTCTCCAATTCGAGTTACCTTAGACGAAACGAGAACGCCATTAATTGGAAAAATTCGAGAATCAGGTGAAATGGTAATAACATAGACGTTTCAATGATTCCCGTGCAAATAAGGATTTATATATGAAAAATTGGAATTGAGTAACCGTTAGATTCTTCTATGAAGAATTTTACGAAAGCTTGAGTAGACGTAATTAGGTAAAAATTCGATAATGTATCGGTGTATTCTATTGAATTTCGGAATTTAGATTCCACGGATAATGGTTATCTTAAGTTATCGAAACGAAAGGATATCAAAAAGAGATGTTCGTTAGTTAATTTTCAATCTTCCTGTAGATTAATTAAGTTCAGTTTACGTGTTGAATTAATTACTTTCTTTAACGGTCCTTCGTATCTCATGACAAAAGCTCGTTATCTACATTAAAGTGACACTATCATGCAGAGATGTAGAGTAAAAAGTAATCTAACACGAAGCTAATAAGCGAACAGATAAAACAACTGGTATGACGCACGCTAAACTCTCCGCGGAATTCAGCGATGGCCGACGACACTTGCACGCCAGTTCCGCCGCGATTCACGGGACAAGAAGCACGGAATGACTAAACGTGTCGAGGTCAGGCCGTAACGCGCCAAAAACATTTTCCGCTTCAGCAGATCGCGGCACAAACAGCGAAAACAATTTCTTCCGTCCTTGGAACACCGGAACGTACCGGCAATTTTCCGAAGAACGAAGTTACGAAAATAATACACGTGTTTTTTCACTTATCCATCGTTCGGCTCGACCGCTGAGAACATCTCGATAAGGGCAATTTCGTCCGTTTCTCTGTTACGACAAGATAAAACCTTTCCCGAGTTACAACAGACTCTTATTATTGCAGTATTACGGGAGTCTCGGGCTGACTGGCGTTCCTTGGGCAAGAGAAAACACTACTTTAGAAAAATTGAGAAAGTCAAAGACGTGGTTGCTTCTGAGACAAATGAGTAAATGATTCTTTAAATCTAATAACTATTTGTAGTTTCTTTCATGGAGGATATTTTATAGAATGACTGAAATATAAAATATGCTCGTTATCTTTAATAATACGATTAAATTTGCGAAGAACGAAATATTTGTTATGAAGATAAAGGATTTCTACTACATTCTTGATGTTGATAGAAAGATCAATTAAATCATACGTCATCGACTTTCAGATGACCGTAGAAGAATCATTTTTGTAACATCATATCTTAAGAATAAAGAATATTTTAGCTAGCTTATGCAGCATCCGTTATATTATTAGACTAATAAATCAATATATCAAAGAAAAATGACAACATTAAAAGTCTGTACACGGT